ATCCAGCATGAAAAACAATGTATATGGATTTTGTAAGAAGACCAGTGTAAAACAGAAATTTTTTTTAAATAAAAAAAAAAAAACTAGCCTGTGCTCTGGTGGCCTACTGGCAAGAAGCTGCACTGCAATCCCAGAGATGCACATTTTTAATCCACCAGATGCTCTGCTGGAGAAGGAGGGACAATCTCCTCCTGCACCAGTCAGATCTGATTTGATGGTACGTACGCGCGCGTGCGCACGCGCGCGCGCGCGCACACACACACACACACACACACACACACACACGCCTTAAAAAAAAAGAGCCAATGGTAATGAAGAAAGAAGTTCAAGCTGTGTTGAAGTCATTGGCAAAAAATAAGGCCCCATGGATAAATGAGATATCAATGACATGTTTCAACTAATGAACGTAGCCCTGGACATGCCACTCATTAGTTTTTGTCCCGAAGTTTGGAAGGTAGCTGTCTTCCAATTGATTGGAAGAGATCCATATTTATTCCCAAATCCTAAAAAAGGTGATCTAACAGTCTAACAGAATGTGGAATTATCAAGCATTATCACTAATATCACCTGCAAACAAAATGCCAAAGATCCTCCAAAACCAGCTGGAACTATTACAATGACAGGTAACTGTCAGAATTTCAAGCTGAGTTTAGAAGGGCTTGTGACACCAGGGGTAACATTGCTGATCTCAGATGGATCTTGGCTAAAAGCAGAGAATACCAGAAGACTGTTTATTTGTGTTTTATTGACAATGAAAAAGCATTTGACTCTGTGGATCATAACAAGCCATGGTTAGCACTAAGGAGAATAAGAATCTCAGAACACATAATTATGCTTAATTATAAGTATGAAACTTATTCTTAGACCCAGAAGCTGTCGTCCAAACAAAGCAAGGAAATAATATATGGTTCAAACTCAAGAAAGTTGTGCCTCAGGGCTGTATCCTTTCTCCATACCTATTTAATGTGTGTTCTGATCTATTAATTCGAGAAGCTGGACTTTATGAAGAATATGGCATCAGGATCAGAGAAAGGCTCATCAATAACAAATGCGTCTGCATTATAAAAATGACACAATCTTGCTTGCTGAAAATTGAGAGGACTTGTAATACTTGCTGCAGAAGATCAAACTCTACAGTCTTCAATATGAATTGCATCTCAACATCAAGAAGACAAAAATTCTTTCCACTGAGCTGACAGGCAACATTGTGATAGATGGAGAAATGATTCAAATTGTCAATGATTGCATCTTACTTGGATCCACAGTCAACACTTTCAGTATCAGCAGTCAAGAAATCAGAAGATATTTTGTTGGAAAAATTGCCAGTTGAGGACATCTCTAAAGTATTAAGGAGCAGTGATGTCAGTCTGAAGAGTAAGGTGCACCTGATTCAGGTCTTTTCCATCACTAGCTCTCCATCTGGGAGCTGGACAATGAATAAGGATGACAGAATTGATGCCTTTGAGTTGTGGTGTTGGAGAAGAGTACTGAATATCCCAAGGTCTGCAAAAAGAACAAATAGATATGTGTTAGAGGACGTGCAGTCCTCCTAGAGGCAAGGATGGCAAAGCTTTATCTCATACTTTGGGCATGTTTACTCCTTGGAAAGGGACATTATGCTTGGAAAGGTGAAGGGTCTTCAAAAGAGAGGAAAACCCTCAATAAGATGGATTGACACAGTGACTGCATCCAATATGTTAGAAGTTATAAAATTGGCACAGGATAGGTCAGGGTTCGGATCTGTTGTTTCTAGTGTCACTATGAGATGTAGTCAACTCAACAGCACTTAACAAAACCAACACTCCTCAAAAAACTGTGTATGTACCTTTCGAGTCCCGGATTCCGACACAGCCACCATCGTGATGTTGGTGCCCAAGAAAAACCGTATTGCCATATATGAACTCCTTTTTAAGAAGAGGGTGATGGTGGCCAAAAGGGATGTCCACATGCCAAAGCATCCTCAACTGTCAGACAAAAAAGTGCCACATGTTCATGTTATGAAGGCCATGCAGTCTCAAGTCACAAAGCCATGTGAAGGGACAGTTCACCTGGAGACATTTCTCCAGCATCTTACCCATGAGGATATCCAATATGTGCATGATTACCTCCACCGGTCCCCTGAGATTTTGCCCACCACCTTATGCCACAGCCATCCTGACAGTGTCAGGCCACGACCTAAAGGTCTGGAAGGTGAATGACAAGATAGACTTGAGAGGAGGCTGACAGAGACACACATGGACAGAGTACAGGGCATCCTGGTGCCGACGTGGACATGGTCAGCTACCTCAGTAAAGTTGGAGGGAATTGTTGTGTGTTGAATAAACATGCAACCAGAAAGACTCAGGGCCAGGGGCGGGGGGAGAAGACTGTGTGGCACTGGGTGACTGTGGCTTTATTTAATGCTCTGTTATTAAAATGCGTCCTTTCTTTTCAGCTTCCCCTGATTCTCCTCCTTCTTTGTAATAATACTACAATGAATCTTTGAACTCAAAATATAATTTCCCTCATTTAAAAAATTGCCTCTTTTAGAACAGGTTCTCAGAATGGGAATTGCCAAGGCAAAATATGTGAGGTGTCAAATTCATTTCCTCATCTAAGGCTGCAATCCTCACCCATCCCAGCTCAACTTACATGGATTCTTCCTTCCTGCCTCCTAACTTCTTCCTCCCAGTCATCAGCCCCTGATCCCTCAATTCCTGTCTCCAGCCTTTCTCTGTTCACTGTTCAACACAAAGTTCTGGGAGTTGTAGCAGGTACACACTTGTGGATTTGTAGGTCCATGTGGGCCCGTGGGCCCTGGCAACATCCCCAAAGCTGTTGTAAGCTGGGCTGGAGTCTGTGTTAGAAGCATAGGTGAAAATGGGGGCCAGCTCCCAAATAGAACTGCTATGCAGTCTGGGATCTGCCAGGCATATGGCCACTGTGGAGAGGTGACATTCAGGGTGCAAACTTGAGATAAGTATAAATTTCTTAAAGGTGAGTGGTCTCCCAGGTTTCACTGATATTAGCATTTCCATTTTTTTAACAGCCTGCTTTCCTCCCCCCCCCCCAAGTTACCCGAGTAATACATTTAAGAGCTATTTAGGGCCACTTGTCCTTTTATTTAATTTCTATATTTTTCTCTCCAACTCTTTCTCTCTCTGTGTGTGGGTCTGTGTTTCTGTGTTTTTTTCTCTCTCTCTGTTAGGATATGCCACAGGACTTTAGTTCACGTTGTTCATTGTTGTCAAGTCAGAAATGACTTGTGCCTGATCCTTGAGGATGTTGGGAAGCTTTAAATTGCACAAAAGGAGATAACTTTTCTTTCTCTCACAGAGCTGCTGGTGAATTTGAACCTCCAGAGAGGTGTCCCCTTTGGGTTAATAGTACAACTCATTAAGGATTGTTGTTGTTGTGTGTGCTGTCGAATCAACTGTGACTCATAGAGCCCCTGTGAACAACAGCTGTGAACCCTACCCTATCCTAAACTTACCCCCATAACCCCAGTTACTGTGTCAGTCCATCTCATCCAGGTTCTTCCTGTCCTGCGCTGATCCTCCACCCTTTCAAACATGATGTTCTTCTCCAAGGATTGGTTCCCCCTGACAACATGCTCAAAGTATATGAGATGGAGTTTCAAAATCCTTGTTTCCAAGGAGGAACCTCCTTGCAACCAGAGGTTTCACCCTCTCCAGGACAGGCCTGCTAGTACTCATGACAGTCCATGGTATGCTCAGCACTCTTCTCCAGCACCACAACTCAAAGGCACCAATTCTTCTTCCATCACTTAATCATCAGCAGCTCTATGATGCATAGGAAATAACTGCAAAGATCATGTCCTGGGTTGGGTTCACCTTGATCTTTAGACTGACAGCATTACTCCTTAACACTCCAGAGAGGTCCCTGACAGCAGACTTCCCCAATGCAATTTGTCTTTTGATTTCCTGCCTGCTGGTCCCGAGAGTGTTGATTGTGGACCCACCCAAGCTGAAATTGTTGAAAATCTCAATTTCTTCTCCATCTATCATGATCCTGCCAATTGGCCTGGTATCTCAAAACTTTTTTTTCTTGATGTTAAGCTTCAATCCATATTGAGAACTACAGGTCTTGACCTTCTGTAGCAAACGCTTCAGGTTGTCCTCAGTTTTGGCATCACCATAACCTCCATTTTGGCTAGAAAGACTCCTTTTTTCTTTCTTCTCTTCTTTTCCTTGACCCTCAAGACTGGCTCAGAGTCCTCCCTTTCCTGCCTAATCTCCACTCAGAACCCCTTCTCTTTTTCCAATCTCATCATGCTGACCAGAGGCATCTCCCACAAACCCTGTAAGATCACAGAAGAAGGAGTCACCTTGTGCTACTCTGTGTCCAACCCAGGCTGCACTCCCAGTAGACCCAGTCAGCTCATGGAAACAACAAGGGACAGCCACACTGGTGGCCCAATAGCATGCGGCCACCCCTGTCCTGGAAGTCATGCCCAAAGCCACAGGCCAGCGGTATTCCTTTAAGTGCATGCTCCACAGAGCTTGAAGTCTGGCAGGGCATGGAGACAAAACATGGTCATTTCTCTGATGAGGAAACCAGACTGTAAATAAACTAGACTGCGGAGCACCATGACCTTGTAGCACTTTCCCATGCCCTGTGCCACCTGCTTTTGCTCCCAAGTAGGCAAAAAGCTGCAAAAGTGCACTGTTGGCACCAGAGCACTTGTAAGCAGGTGGCACTGGCAAAGAGCCTCCCTATACGTGTGTGTGTGTGTGTGTGTGTGTGTGTGTGTGTGTGTGTGCGCGCGCGTGCGCGCGCCTGCAACCTTGGCCCAGCTGGAACTCCCCTGGGAACAGCAGCTGTCTCTTCACTCCAGGGACATAAGTTGGAGCATGGCCAGGCTAGAGGAAGTGGTAGAAGTAGAAGGGGGAGAAAAAAGAACCTTCCCAAGGAGATGCTAACCTATGAGGTCAGCCAGTTCCAAGTCCATAAATAGCCACAGGTCCCACAGGAGGGTCACCAGGAGGCAGGCATGCACCATGGGGTGCCTGGAGCTGGTGCTCCTGGGTCTCACCTGCTGCTTGGCAGTGGCGAGTTCTGCAAAGGTAAGCTAGAGCGCAGCAGAGGTCGCAGGAGGCCAGGGCTGGGGCCTTCCACTGTCCAGATTTCTCCTCGTGATGACTTCATGAGACAGAGCACAGCTGCCTCAGGGAGTTTTCTAGGCTGTAACCTTTCTTGAACAGGTGGCCAGGCTTTTCTCCCATTTTGAATGGTTTGAATGGGTTCAGACCACCACCCTCTCGGTGAACAGCGACATGCTTAATTGCTGCTCCACCATGGATCCTTGCACAGCTCAGATGCTGTGCACATCTTTAAGTATGCTGTTCACATCTAGGCTGCTAGATGAAGCTCAGAATACCTCAGTGAATTTCAAATTCACAGGAACATTCTGAATTGCATATAAACAACAAATCATCTTTAGGATAAACATATATCACATAGTATCTGGGATATTGTTGTTGTTGTTGTTGTTGTTGTTGTTAAGTGCCGTCTATGAAGGACAGTTCTCAACACTTGGGTGCCTTTCATCCTCTCTCCAGATCTTGGATATTACAGTAAAAAAATGATTTCTTCTTTTCTGAAACTGTAACTTAACACCCACCCAGGATTTGTATTTTCTGTATCTGACAACCCTAACTACCATGTTTTTCTAGTGTCAGTGTCATGCGCACTTGACAGGGGGATTTGCCCCAGAGACCACGGCCCTGGGTGGATGAGACCCAGCAAACTCCAACCCTGGAGTCTGGCTCCTTGTTTAATTTCGTCTCAGATTCCATCCACAGGAAGTTAAGTGTCTACTATCCACTAGCTCCTTTCCAGGCCTCCATTCAAGAGGTGCAGGAAATTTCCTGGATTGTGGTTAACATTCTCCTCCTTATCCACTCTCCAGCCAGCTCTGGTGGCTGAGTGATTAAGGAGTTATGATGCTAAGCCCACGGGGCTTGTTGTTGGCCTCGAGGGGCCCGATGAAGAAGAGTTGTGAACCTTGCCCTTATCTTGACCATCTCCAACATGTCAGACATGATCAAGCCCATTCTTTTTTTAAAAAAAAATTATTTTATTTTATTATTGTGTGTGTGTGTGTGTGTGTGTGTGTACCGTCAAATCAGATCTGACTGTTACAGGAGGAGATTGTTCCTCCTTCTCCAGCAGAGCGTCTGGTGGATTTGAACCGTGCACCTCTGGTATTGCAGTACACCTCCTTGCCACTAGGCCACCAGAGCTCGCCCAAGCCCATTCTTATGGTCACTGTGTCAGTCCATCTTGTTGAGGTTCATCTGCTCTTTCTCTGACCCTTCATCTTTCCCAGCAAGGACTGGTCCTTTTTTTTTTTTCGGGGGGGTGGGGGACTGGTCCTTTTTAAAACATACTTAAAGTAAATGAGGTAAAATGTCACCATCCTTATTTCTAAGGAGCACCAAGCTTGCACTTTGTTCAATACAGAGTTTTGTGTTCTTTTGGGAGTCCTTGGCATGTCAATGCTCTTCTACAGTACCATATTTCAAAGTCATCCATTCTTCTTCTGTCATCCTTATTCATTTTCCAACTTTCAGATGTATACAGCAAGTAATGAAAAGATTGTGGCTTGCATCAGGAGCACTTTAGCCTTTAAGGTGACATCATTGCTCTTTAGCACTTTTGAGACGTCTGTGGCAACAGATTGTCTCAATGTAACATAACTTTTGATTTTTTATTTTTTCTTACTGCTGTTACCATGGGTGTTGATTGTGGATCCAAATAAGAGGAACTAATTGACAAGTTGTATGTTTTCTCTATCTATAATAATGTTGTCTAATGACCCAGTGGAGAGGATTTTTTTTTCCTGGATGGCGTGATGTAATCCATACTGAAAGCTGTAGTCTTTGATTTGCTGCCATATTTGTTTTTATTTTCTTATTTATTTTCTTTTCTCACTGTGTACTGTCAAATCAGATCCGACTGTCACAGGAGGAGATTGCCCCTGCTTCTGCAGCAGAGCATCTGGTGGATTTGAACCACACGCCTTCAGGATATCTTTGATCTTCTGAAGCAGGAGTTTCAAGTCATCCTCACTTTTAACAAGCAAGGCTGTGTCATCAACATCACACAGGTGGTTGAGAGTCTTCCTCCAACCCTGATTCCACATTCTTCTTCATAGAGCTCAGCTTCTCCAATGATAGCCCAGCATAAAAATTGGACAATTATGAAGAAGGATACAACCTTGATGTACACCTTCCCTGATTTTAAACCATGCCATGTTCCATTGTTTTGTTCTGTTTGTACAACTGCTTCTTGGTATAGATTTCTTGTATAGCATATATACATATATAGAACCTATACTTCTAGTATAGGTTTTTCATTAATGCAATTAAGTATTTTATAATTCCCATTCTTCTCAATGTTAGCCATAATTTGTTATGATCCACATCATCAAATGCTTTTGCATAGTCAATAAAACACAAATTAACTTCTAATCTGGTATTCTTTGCTTTCAGCCAAGATCCATGCGATGTTAGCATTTATATCTCTCATGCCATGACTTCTCTTGAATCCACCTTGAAGTTCTGGAAGTTTCCTGCAAATGCATTCTTCTGGACATTTTTAAATAATCTTCAGCAAGATTTTACTTCCATGTGATGTTAATGATATTGTTTGATCATGTCCACATTCTGTTAGATTGTCTTTATTAAAATGAGAACACATAGGGATCTCTTCCAGGCCATTAACCAGGTACTATCTTCCAAATTTTTTGGTATAAACTGATGAGAATATCTAGAACTGCATCTGTTTGTGGAAACATGTCAATTGATAGTCAAGTCCCAGGCTCTTTTATTTTTTTTTTTTTGTCAGTGCCTTCAGTGCAGCTTGAACTTCTCCTTTCATTAACATTGGTTTTTCTTTTTTCATTTTTATTTTATATTGGTTTGCTTCCAAAGTTCATATACATTGTGTTTCACAGTATCCTTCATTCATATTGTATTTCATATAATCATTCTCATTTATTATGCTTTATAAAATTATTCATCATTGAACTATGCCCACCATTACCCTGTCAAATTACTAGATCCCTTCCAGATCTTGCCCAGTTCCTTTATTCTCCCCTCCCTCCATCCACAAAATTGTAAGACTCTATTACTTCTCCCCCGCCCATCCTGACCCCTCTCCTCCCACCCTCGCCCCATTTGGATCTTCATCCACATTTTACTAGTTATCCTTCTATTGCTACAATAATGGTATTATGCAGTTTTTGTCCTTATGAGACTGAGTTAGTTACCATGGGCTCCTTTTCATTTGCAACTACCTGAAATTGTTCAGTGCCAGCTTCCTTCATCATTCAAGAATCTGTCGTCTCCATATACTCGGGAGATGAGTCTGTTGCTTCGCATTTTGCCTTGGTCACGGCTTACGAAGACATCAAAAAATGACTAAAGGGCTCAGAGAAAGAGAACTCTTTGTTAAAGAAAAGAATATGATTTTGGGAAGAAAAGCTTTTAGAAGGTCTATCGGATGAAGAAGTAGCCTCTTTGGGACTACAGCAAGTCAGTAAGGCCTATCACGCGTACGGAGAGGTCTGCATTGATAGGGATAATTTGAAAAGCCAATTGGATAAAATGAATAAAGACAACTCTGAATCTTTGAAAGTATTGAATGAACAGCTACAGCCTAAAGAAGTAGAGCTTCTGCAGCTAAGGACAGAGGTGGAGACTCAGCAGGTGATGAGGAATTTTAATCCACCTTCCTCAAGCTGGGAGATGGAGAAGTTGAGCTGTGACCTGAAGATCCATGCTTTGGAGCAAGAGCTGGAACAGATGAGGAAAGAATGTCACGACCTCAGGACAGAACTGCAGAGATCCAAGCAAATGAATCTCTCTGACGAAGATAATCTGAAGAGCAGATATCTCCAAGCATTCAGCATTTCAAGGTATAACATGCAGCATGCGTACTGGGAGCTGAGGAGGGAAATGTCGAATTTACATCTTGTGACCCAAGTCCAAGCTAAACTACTGAGGAAGCTGAAATCCCCAGCTGCAGTCAGGAAAGCCTGCGCCCGAGCGGGCACATTGACGACCTTGGGAGAGACAGCGCCAAACTGTACTTGACGAATTTTACTGCACCATACAAAAGACATGCCACCCTCTCACTAACTGGTAAAGCTCTGCCTCACACCATAGCGTCTCCCTTACCAGGACGTGCAAAGGCACTGTCAGAGAAAGAAGTCCTCCAGTCATGGAGAGACAACGAAAGATCCATCCCCAGCGATGGGACACACTTTGTGGAACACAACTCCTGTGGCCAAAATTCTCTGGAAGATAACTCTTGGGTGTTCCCGAGCCCTCCTAAGTCTGGCAAGATGGTGTTTGGAGAAACCAAAAGCAGAGTGCTCCCTTTACGTAACCTGCTGCCACTGCATTATTTGGATCAATACAATCAGAACTGCCTTTCTAAGAATTAGAAGAGATTTGTGATTGGGCTACAAGGATGCTGTGTTTCCTTCAGTGACCACTCAAGGAATTATCTGAAAGTAGATTTTTATTACAATTTTGCAATTTTTTGGTATATACACATTTGCATATATTTTCCCATAATTATATAGTTGATTTTGTAGTATGGAAGAAGTGCCCAGGCTGACAAGAATCCGTTACATGCTACTAATAAATCCCTGAAGGTGTTTGAGAAGGACTGCTTTTTCCCTTTGAGCACAATTGTAAATTTCTCTGTCTCAGATAAAGAAGGGAATTGGATGTTTTGGGGCAAAGTTTTACAAAGTGTGATATGCCTAAATATATCATTTCTAAAAATCATCAAAGGGGCCACTCTAAAAATAAAACTCTGTAAGTTGCTTAAAATTGCATAAAAAGTAATGTGTTACATATCTGGAAACACTAACCCAGTGGAGTATTTTATAATACTCCATCCAAGTTATTCAATCTCTGTATGTCATTGTATTGAAAAGTGACTCTCTCTCCTTATCCACAGCGTTGTCAGAATGAGAATTGCAATTTGGTTTGTAGGACTTGGAAAAAATGCTGATCATTAAAGCAACGTTGTGTCAGTAAAAAAAAAAAGAATGTGTCAATATTGCAACTCAAGATTTGACTTTGTTTTTTAGTTCTTTCAGCTTGAAAAATGGCAAGAAAATTCTTCCCTTCTGATTTTCTAACTCCAGTTCTTTGCATATTTCATTATGGTATTTTGCTCTGTCTTCTCAAGCTGCCTTTTGAAATCTTCTGTCCATCTCTTTTACTTCAGCATTTCTCCCCTTTCTTGGGCCTTTCTATGTTCTAGGGCCATTTTCAGAGTTTCTTCAGGCATCCAGTTTGGTCTTTTCTTTCTCTCCTGTCTTTGCAATGACCATTTGCCTTCTTCCTGGGTGACATCCTTAATGCCGTCCCATAATTAATATTGGTCTTCAGCAGTCAGTATTCATTCAGTTCCTCAACTCTATCTCTTGAGATGGTTTTTACATTCACTTGGGATAGACTTAAAGTTATATTTTGGTTCTTGTGGACTTATTTTCATTTTCTTCAACACCAAGTTGAACCTGTGCGTGCGTTATTCATGCTCTGTGTCACATCATCCAGTGACCTTGTTTCAACTGCTAAGGCTGACCTTCTCCAGCAACTCTTTCCCTAGATGTTGTCAGTCTGATTCCTGCGCAGCTCATAGTTTGAAGCCTACATGTATACGTGCCATTTTTTCTAACAGTATTTTCTGTGAGCGCATAAAGTGGGCTCTTCAAGCCCACCAGCCATTTCCTTCCTTGTGATTTACAGACTCTGAAAGGCTGCTAGAGGGTCATCTATGAGTCGGTCTGATAGCAATTATTTGAACTGGGTTTGAGTAATTGCCCCTCAGCGTAGTGTGAGGAACATAAGCTGAGGCATCTTGAAGACAGAACTCAAGCACACTGTGGACCCCAAGCCTGTGTGCCCCAGTCCACTTTCTGCCAGGTTTGCTTGAGGGGTCTCATTCATTAACTTGCTAACTGGGATCAAGCTGATGCTGACTCATAGCTGAACCTGCACCTGGTTTCCAAGGCTAGAAATGGAAACGGGAGGAGACTGCCCACCTTTCCTCTGAGGAGGTGCTGGTGGGTTCAAACTCCCAGAGATGAATAAACTCTAGATCAGCAGTGCAATTCTAGCCAAACCTCTATGGGGGTTTCAACCCCCAGGAATGACAGATATCCTAGGAAGAGTCTTTTTGCTCTCTGTTGGAATAAAATGGTATCTCTCCATGCCTCACCCCTGCTCTAACCTGGGTACCCTTTCCTACAGTCACCCCTGCTCTCAGAACTCTTGTGAATCTGCCCTTTGGCCTTCTTTCAAATTTAGATGTATAGGCTCTTGCCCTCTGTCTGTTAAGGAAACTTATGTGCTTTTTTCCTAGAAAAGCCTGATTTTTGTGGGGGCTGAGAAAAGCCAGGTTTCCTCCCTTTTGCTGCAGCAAACCAGTGTCAGCAATGTTCCCTTTTCTCCCCACCTCCCTGTGGTTCCTACACACACCTCCAACACATACAGCTATTTTCTAGTCCCAGGCCCTGACCTTGCTGCAAGGGTCAGGGAAAATGCCTATTGGTCTGGCACGAGGAGCGCTGAGCGCCCCTCCTCCATGGCAGCCTGGCTTGTGCTGCTTCTGGCTCTTTCTTCTCTCCAGCTCCAGTGTGTCCCACTCTCTCCTCCCAGTACTGCAGGGGCACCTGCTAGCTTAGATGGGAGGGGCATTGAGGCCCCAAGCAGGCTTGATGGGCAAGGCAATCACACTAGAATTTGGCCCTAGAGCAGCTCCCTGCCACAGGCGCGTGGATGAATGAAGAGGAAGCCCCAGGAAGGGGAGAGGGCCAAGTCACGTCCCAACAGAGGAACTTCCAGCAGGAAAGCATCTGAAGCTCAATCCCCTATACTGGGAAATGACCAGAGCAGACAGCTGCCTGCCAAGACCCTGTCCATTGAGGGGTCCTTGACCCACAAGAAAGCAGCCCAGAAGAGAAACGCTCAGCATCAATTCAGTTTAGAGCAGAGGGAACTAGGGCTATCAGAACATGGCTTCCAGGCAGCCAAGGCTGTTACTGTTAAATGTCATAGCGGAACCTGCCTGCAGAGGCTGTATTGCACACGGCGGGGAGATTGTTCATCTTTCTCCTACAAAGGAGCTGGTAGATTCAAACCACCTGTCTTTGGTTTGGCAGCACAATTCTCTAACCACTAGGCCACCAGAGCTTCGTAGGCAGGGCAGGGTGTAAGACAATTAAATTCCTTTCACTAGTTTAGGCTGAGCTTCTATGTAGGAGGGGAGTTTCCAATAAGCAAGGTGAGCACAGCCTTCTTTGTGCTTACTTACCAATTTGTAGTAAACAGCTTCACATACTATTCACCACATCAAAGATCACCAAGTGAGCACAAGTAAGCCCGTGTTTACCGTGCATGCTAGAAACTCCATCCTTGTCTCAGACTGCAAATTTGAAAAGACTTCAGTTTTGTAGGATGATACGGTGGGAAAGACCTAGAAACAGAAACTGTGATAGGTGGAAGATTAATACTTGTCTACTCCACTCCCTGTGTTTAACCTGCTCATTGGACAAGCCTACATTGCCCAGGCCCACGAGGAGGGCACTGCCAACTGTCATCTTCCAGAGAAGGAAACAAAGGCTCAAAGTCATAGGCAGGATCCAAACCCACAACCCCACACAGCCTCTCCAACACCCACCCACCCCCAGGGAGGCTTCTTAAGTGGCACCATCGGTCAAACAGCTTCCTGTGAGATCAAAAGCAGGAGCCAATTGGGAGAAACAGTGAGAAGGTTCTCTATGTGACCTGGTCAAGTTACAGGGGCACCATCATGGTCTTGGGAATGGATTTGCATCACCCCTGGGGACATTATTTCAGGGGAACCTTTGGAAACCCAGCTCATCCAACAAGGCTCTGAAATCTCCTGACCTGCCCATGTCTTCCTCACAGCTGGGTGTAGTGTACACTGAAGGTGGTTTTGTGGAAGGTGTCAACAAGAAGCTTGGCCTCTTTGGTGACTCTGTGGACATCTTCAAGGGCATCCCTTTTGCTGCTGTCCCCAAGACCCTGGAGAACCCCCAGCGACACCCTGGCTGGAGAGGTGCGAGCTGGTGGGTGCTTGGTGGGGTGTTGCTGCTAGGGTGTCCTGGGCATGCTATGTCAACCCTTCTGGCTATCTGCACAGTGCCTGTAGCTATTAGTTTTAAACTATTGATTAACTCTCACTCCTGACACTTGGATCTGGCTGATAGGAACTGCTCATTGGGACACATGTTGTACCTGTCAGACCCCAAATATGCCTCTGCCTATAGGAACTCTGAAGGCCAAAGAATTCAAGAAGCAGTGTCTGCAGGCCACCACGACCCAGGAGAATACCCATGGGTCAGAGGACTGCCTGTACCTCAACATCTGGGTCCCACAGGGCAAGAAGGAAGGTGAGTCATCCCCTGATGCTCCTTGAATTCCACTCTCCCTGCAGAAGATCCCAAACGGTCTAAGCACCAGGACCAACTCTACTGTTTGTATGTGTAATCTCCAAAACAGAACTTTGTTGATATCAGCGTAGGGTGTGGGTGTGTATAAGAGAATTAGTTACTGGTCCCCAAGCTTGGAGCAGGGCAGGCCCTTGGAGGCCACCTAAACCCATCCCTTAGACAGAAGTGGAGAGATTAGGCAGAAGGAGGGACCGGCCAGGTGTCTGAGGGTCACTGGGTCTTCTCACCCCTGCTCCAGTCTCCCGGGACCTGCCTGTTATGATCTGGATCCATGGTGGTGCCTTCCTCATGGGCTGTGCTCAGGGGGCCAACTTCCTCAACGACTACAAATATGATGGAGAGGAGATCGCCACACGGGGCAACGTCATCGTGGTCTCCTTCAACTACCGTGTGGGCCCCCTTGGCTTCCTCAGCACTGGGGACCCCAACCTGCCAGGTTTGCCCTGCACCACGAGCTGAGTATATCCCATCCCATGGGCTCTAAATCCAGTAGGATCACCCTCCTCAATGACACTCTTCCCAGTCACCTCTGGAAACTCTATGGAAAGATCCAGAATCCTTTTTGTAGAGCTGGAAGTTGAGATTAAATCATGAAACACAGCTTTGTGGAAATAAAAGAGACTGACAGACAGGCAGACAGTCAAAGACCCAGAGAAAGACTAAGGGAGGCAACAACAGTAAAGCTTAGTGAAAGAGAGAGAGACTGAGGCTCAGACATACAGATGCCAGCAGGACAGATGGATAACAGAGGGACTATGGCAGGGAGGAAAGATGAATGGGGTACAGACAGACAGGCTCTTGACCCTTTTCCCACCCCAAGTACCTTCCCAGGCTGAGACTTTTCAGGCCAATCACTTGCCATTCCATAGTTTTGGGCTATTGAAGGCTTTTTAACCTAATTCACACTCATTGTGCACCTTCCATGTACCAAGCCCTGATCCTCTCACCACCATTAGTTCCCCATCTCCCTGCCAAGGGTCCCCAGTGAATTCTCCACCCCCTGTTCCATTCCAGGAAACTATGGCCTTCGGGACCAGCACATGGCCATCTCTTGGGTAAAGAGAAACATCGCAGCCTTTGGGGGAGACCCTGACAACATCACCATCTTTGGGGAATCAGCTGGAGGCACCAGTGTCTCTCTGCAGGTCTGCGTCCCCAGAGTGGAAGATCTGTTCCAAAGAGTTTGAGAGGAAGCTAATGGGTGTGGGACAGACAGGAGGGGAAGAAGAGGCTGGAGCTGACACACTGGGAGTCTTGGGCTGAGCCTGGGCTGGAGCAGGGTGGGTGAGGCCTTGGTGACAGGACCTCTGTGTGTTGCAGACCCTCTCTCCCTACAACAAGGGCTTGATACGGCGAGCCATCAGCCAGAGCAGTGTGGCACTGAGCCCCCGGGCCATCCAAAAGAACCCACTCTTCTGGGCTAAAACGGTAAGGGACAAGAAGGGTGGGCATGGATATGGTCTCCATTTAGATGCCCAGGATTGACCCTCCACATTTCCATTGTCATCAGTCATTGTCTGTCCTGAGCACTGACCTCATTTTCCTACTTATTACTTCCTATCCCCTACAGATTGCCAAGAAGGTGGGCTGCCCCATGGATGATACCTCCAAGATGGCCAAGTGTCTGAAGGTCACCGATCCACAGGCCTTGACACTGTCCTACAAGATGCCCTCCACTGGCATGGAATGTGAGCAGGGTGGTCTGGTGTGGCAGCATGGGAGTTCAAGGTTTGGGAGGGCTCTGTGAGGCAGGACCTTGTACCTGGACAGGAGAGCTACGTGTCTTATCTGGGACTTTAAACCTCTCACCAACTTCCAGCATTCACATTGTAGGAATTTGATTGCTCCTTTGCTGGTGTTTATTATTGGCTGCAGTTTAAGAGCTAGACAGAACCAGTCTTCCTCCCTTCTTATCTTCCATGAGTGGTGGACCCCTTTGAGAAGTTGATGAACCTATGATTTGCTTTCCACAAATTTTAGGGCAACTCATGGACACCTTAAATTCCACCTGTACATACATGGATTAGACCAAGAAATGTGTACTCTATTCCCATTCAGGCATTTAGTAAGCACCTTCTATAGCTCTTGGCCATCCTTTCCTAATGTTCTGTACCTTAGAAGGCCTGGGAGATCCATTAGGACAGATACTTTGATTGATGGACTAGAATTCTCTTCAACCCATTCTGTTCAGGCAATGTACAATGAAGCCCACCACATAATTTGTGCAAATAAAACTTAAATGGTTGGCAAATACAAAGCCAACCTTCATTTGGATTTGGCTAAAGAAACAGTAAGTTTCCCCATCCCTGCAACAGTATTGGGCTGGTTCTAAGGAAATCTGTGCATTCATTTGCTCCGTATGGTTCTTCAGGGACTAGTTCAGAGGTTCTGGCAGCATTGTGGATCACTCAGTATTTTTGGCTTATAGACTGGAACCCAGATCTGGGAAAAGGGTACCTTTCCTCATCTGCCCTCAGTCACTTGTACTTCTGCCACATTTAGTCCCAAGGAGAAGATATGGAGGGGAAAGGGGCTCGCACTGCAATGAGAGAACAGATATGGCCTCTCGACCAACTATACTGCACCAGAGACAATTTTGCTCCTGATAATACGTGGCAATGTCTGGAGACATTTTCGTTTCCAAAACTGGGGGTTACTGGCATCCAGGCATTCTACAAACATCTAGCAATACATAGGGTAGCCCATCACAACATAGAATTAACAGGCTCAAAATGTTAATAGGACCTAAATTTAAAACTCTACTCTGGATATAAAAAGAAAGGAGATCCCTACTGCACATCGTAGAGAGGGAGTCAGTTCCACCATCGGGGCAGAGAGGAGGGTCGGGGGGATACTGATAAGTTTACTGATAAGTTTGAGAATGTGTTGGCTTTTCCACCCAGACCCCATGTCAAACTATCTGGGCTTCATCCCGGTCGTTGATGGAGACTTCATTCCCGATGACCCCATCAAGCTGTATGCCAACACTGCTGACATTGACTACCTAGCAGGCACCAACAACTTGGATGGCCACTACTTTTCTACCATTGATATACCAGCAGTTGGCCTGATTAACAATGATGTAACAGAGTAAGTAAGAGTCACAGGAGCCAGGAATGGTGCTGAAGGCTGCAGAGGAGGAGTCAGTTAGCCTGGTAGAAGTGGACCCAGAGGGGGCAAACATTAGCAAAGGAGTGGGAGCGAAGAGATCAACAAGATGTTGGGAGTGGGAGTGTCCACGTAAGAACTCTCTCCTTAGTGGGTGTGGAGACACCTTCTATTGGTACCAGATGGAGAGCCCAGTGCCTGCTTGTTCCCTGCAGTGAGGACTTCTACAAGCTGGTCAGTGGAGTCACCTTCGCCAAGGGCCTCCAAGGAGCCAAAGCCACCTTTGACATCTACACTGAGTCCTGGACCAAGGACTCATCCCAGAAAGTGAAAAAGAAGACCGTGGTGGACTTTGAGACTGACGTCTACTTCCTAATGCCTACCAAAATGGCGGTGGCCCAGCACAGAGCCCATGCCAAGTAAGGACACAATGCAGGGGGTGGGAATGACTCCCTGGAGAGGCTCAACTAACTGACTGCATCCTGCTGCCAAAGCATGTCCAGCAGGGGACTGCCGGGTGTCAGAATGCATGGAAAAGTCCTGCCCAGAGCTTGACTTCCTGTGTCTCATTTGCTTTGCCCAGGCCTGACAAGATTCAGGAAAAGACTCTTCACCCTGCTCAGTTTACAAAACCCTCCCACAGCTTCAATGATCTTCCAACTTATCCAACCCTTCCCACTGGGGAGCTCTTAAATTTCTCCACCCCTTATGCTCTGTAGATGATGAGCACATCGGACAATGGTCTTTGTTTAGTAAGTCTTTAGAGTTTCAACACTGCTCACTTTCAAAACAACTTAAACATACATCCACATGGCCGTGTGCTCACAAGTCAAATCTGGCTCCTAGAACCCCAATATGGCAGAGTAGAACAGCCTCAGCGATTTCTCAGTTGTAAATTTGTACAGTATAAGCAACTCCCATGCGTTAAAATTTCCTCCATGAAGCAGCTGGTGAGTTCAAAAAGCTAACCTTTCACTTAGAGATCTGGCACTTAAATACTGAGCCACTGTGGCTTTTCTGAACACATTAAAACTCTCAGTTACCAGTTGGCATTGATTCAATTCTGACTCATGGTTCGCCCAGGTGTGTCAGGGTAGAACTGTGCTCCAAAGGGGTTTCAAGGGCTGAATTTTCAGGATACTTAAAAATCAAATCCATGAGTTTGTACTACAGCTTCCCCTCTCCAGAAGGAACACTACTGCTTATTTTGTGGGAATTTCCCAGAATCTTCTAGCCATTGCTCCCATCCCCACTTCACCCACAGAATCCCTTTAGGTCTGTTTGTGGGTTGAACAGTTCAGGTGAACATCTTACCAACCTAAGCAACTACTCTATTCATTTACAGGAGCGCCAAGACCTATACCTATCTGTTTTCTCATTCCTCTCGGAAGTTTCTCTACCCTGACTGGATAGGGGCTGACCATGCAGATGACCTCCCGTATGTGTTCGGGAAGCCCTTAGCCAACCCTCTGGGCTACCAATCTGAAGATAAGACTGTCTCCAAGGCCATGATCGCCTACTGGACCAACTTTGCCAGGACTGGGTAAGGTTTGGGGTAATGCCTAGAAACACAGCAGATATGTGAGCCTCCTGTACCACACAAGTAGATGTTGCTACAGACACAGAGCCCCTTTGCCTTTACTTACCAGCTTTGGGAAATTGATAAAACTCCTGTGAACCCAGCGGTCTCTATCTTGCACTCTGCTCTGACACAGGCCTTCAGAATGCTCAGGCCAGTGGTCAGTTCATAGTACAGCATTGTAGTCAGGATCTAACTTGGAGCAAGGGAGGATGCTGCAGGTATACAGGAGTAAGAGCTACACTGGGATGCAGGTCTCCAACCCCCTGTGAGTCTGTAACCTCCATTCTGCCTTTTCTCGCCCTACAGGGACCCAAATATGGGTCACTTGGCTGTCCCTACACACTGGGATCCCTACACCCTTGAAAATGACAACTACCTAGAGATCAACAATAAGATTGATAGAAACTCCATGAAGCAGCACCTTAGGTCGAACTACCTGCAGTACTGGGCCCTGACCTACCAGGCACTGCCCACGGTGACTGATGAGGACACTTCCCCTGTACCACCCACAGATGACTCTGGAGTGACCCCATTACCCCCTGTACCCCCTACAGGTGACTCTGAGGCCACCCCTGTACCCCCCACAGGAGACTCTGAGGCCACCCCTGTGCACCCTACGGGTGACTCTGAGGCCACCCCTGCGCCCCCTACGGGTGACTCTGAGGCCACCCCTGCCCCCCCTACGGGTGACTCTGAGGCCACCCCTGCGCCCCCTACAGGTGACTCTGAGGATGCTCAGATACCCATAGTCATCAGCTTCTAAAATCCCATGATCTTTGGTCCCAAGAGATCATAAAACTAGAAATCCCAGGAATCTTCTCCTCTCCCATGCTTTTCCTGAATAAAGTCTCATCCTTATATATTTGGTGTCTTTCTTTGCTCCAAAGATCCAGCTGGAGGAAGGAGATTAAACATTCCTCTGTAAAGAACTCAGAGCTCAGCTGAACACTTAACAACATACCTTAGTCAATCATTCAAGTTTCCAGGAGGTCAATATTACTGTGAGAGGAGGGAAGAGTTAGAAGAGTTACATGACAGACCCAGCACTGAGATTCAGGAGTGGATTACCCCAAAGCCTGTCCTTCTCCATCTATACTGGACTCCTAGCTCCTGATGGACTAAGCTCTGGCCCTAAAGGGTGGGTGTGGTGTCTGAGCAACCAGAGAGGGGATCTGGGCTCTGCAGAAAGATGGCTCCATAGCGTGGCCATTCTAGTTCAGCACTGTCTCACCTCAGTCTCTGGTCCTTTCCCATCTCTCCTGCTGCTGCTTCTAGACTAGTCTGTGTCTGTGCTTCATTTAAGAATCTCTGGGCCAAGGACATGGTGTACTCTCCATATCTTCTTTCTTGGTAATAGTGATCTTTACATTCTCTAGCTCTGAAGATGCTCAATTTAAGCCTGGTGGAATGGTAAAACTGTCTAAATCTCTATTAACAGTCTACGTATCTATCACCATGTTCCTACTAATAAGGGAGCCCTGGTGGCCTAGTGCTAAGAAGCTGGACTACAATCCTAAACACATAGAGTTCAAATCTACCAGTGGCTTTTCAGGAGAAAGATGGGCAATCTCTTTCCATGTGACTTACTGCCTCTGAAAACCCACTGGATGGTCAGCTAGGGGTTGGCTCTGACTCGATGACACACAACAACACCACCAACTCCAAAGGTGCTATTTGCTTTACTTACATTATTAGCAAACTATCTAATCTATTCCCTTGGTGCAGCCACAAACATGCCACAATTTTTTACTCAGCCATGTGGTGAAAGTAAAAATCAGTGACTAGTGAATATTAAATAATCCACCATACCACAGGTCACCCACTGGCTCTTCTAGCCATTGGACTTCATACTTGAAGGGTTAACTTTTCTCTTAAAATCTCTTTACTAGTACCTACATACATATTATTGACCTACTTTATGCCTTTATCGACCCCTCATTTTAGATAACAAGTTTCTAATTTGCCTATCCCTATCAAATCAGCACTCTGAGGAGAAAAACATGCTCCTTTGAATAATCTTCTGTTTTAATTGAAACTTTGAGCATCCTCATCCTCAAGCAAAGTCCACTCCAGAGCAAGTCATTCAATTACAGCAGTCAAGCCTTTTGTTCATTGGGCCACTATGTGTCGTGCTCTACTCAAAGGCAATCAACAACAACAACAAATACTAGCTTACAGAAGCAAATATCCTCTCTTCATTAGGTCAGGTTCTGGTGAGCTTATCCCTAGTCTTCCGAAGGTTGGTCCATTGGTCACTAGCTACACTCCAGGGTCCACATCTTCTTGCAATTCAGACTTTTTGGTTCCTTCACCCTCAATCACAGTCTCTCACATGGGCTAAGTCAATATGTTAGGATTCCCTGCAAAAGTCTCATCCTTTGCATCTGTGTGTGTCCACTCACTACATGCCATTGGAACATGTCCAAATTCAGTGTATCTCTTCGTTTCTGTTTTCCCCCACTTCCATTCATCCAGCGCCCCAGGTGGTCCCCAAGAGTGAGCACAGAAGACTGATTATGTGCAACGCCCTTTAATTTCCAGTCCAGAAGAGGCTTTTGATGGGTATGGCTTTTCCTGCCCCACTACACAAAAAACCAAACCAATTGTCCCAAATTCAAAGAGTCAATCTTTGATTGTTGTTAGGGTTTTTTTTAAGAGGGTTGAAGTTCTTTTTCTTCTATGGATATTTCCTTTAAATGTAAATATCTTCTCCTAACAGCTGGAACTAAGTGTACTTGTCCATTCAAATGTAAATTTCCTGACTCAAAGATATTAGGTTGCAGGTCAAGTTTTCAACAAGCCTCCAGAGCTCAAACATGGACTTGCCCTGCTAGGTGGGCATCAGTGGCCCATTGAATTGCCCACTGTAGTGACCATCCAACAGCCCTTGATCTAAGGAAACTAGGAACCAAGAAGAAACTTCTTACATGATCTAGGGAATTAAAAAACTAATGACAAAAGTAAAAAGAACCAGCTTATATGATCTAAAGAATTAGGAAACTAGGAAAAAAAATCAAAGGAATCTGCACGCACACATGGTTTCTAGCATTATGGTTTACATATACTTACTGACATACATGTAGCTAACCATGAAAAGTTGGGATGCCAAATTAAAGGCTTTTGGGACTGAACTCCATTCTTCTAGTCACTATCGAAGTAGGTCCAACAATAGGTGCTGGAGATTACAGCTGCTAGGGTGATAGAGAATATTTCCTGGTTGTTTTTCATAGTGTCCTGAGTCCACCTCCAGAGATCATTATAGGTGAAATTAACCATATCATCCTTATACTAGGAGGAATTCCCTGTTGGAACTGTGTTATGGAAATACTAACCCGAATTAGGCAGGAAGCAAATGTTTGCTCAGCATGCATTGCCCCCTTCAGTCAGAAATCAGACAAATTCATTACGTGCTTTGTGAGCTGTACTCAAATGTTCTCATTTCAGCTAAAGGGGATCAGTTCTGACTGTCTAACCCACAGAAAGAGGGAGATTGATATTTTCTTATTTTTTTATTGTATTATTTTTATGTGTACCGTCAAATCAGATCTGACTGGTACAGGAGGAGATTGCCCTCTCCTTCTCCAGCAGAGCATCTGGTAGCTTTGAACCGCCTACCTCTGGGATTGCAGTGCACCGTATTGCCACTAGGCCACCAGAGCTCCCTTGATTGATGACTTTTTAATTGCAGCTTGAGATCAGAAGAAGAGTCTGTGATCTATGAATCTTCAGGATATGTCTTGACGCATGTGCAGTGGGTGAATCCAAGTCTTGAGGTCCATGAATTTGAGAACAGTAGGGGTGGTTAACATGAATTCTCATGGTCCATCCCACTTTTAATTGGAAGTCAGATTCGATTCTCGATGTCTTGAGTAGATGCCATTTCCAGGCCAAAAGAAGCGTAGGTTACCTGCAGGCGAGGAAGAAGACCTGAAGAGAGCAAATTTATGAAGAATAGAAAGTGCTTGGTAGAGGTATTTTACATTCTGCTGCACTTTCACATCCTGGTTGAGTTCAGGTGGAAGGCTGAGAAAAGCTGCCTGGAAAGGTTTATTATTAACATTCTCACATGGGCTCAAATTAAGCCCACTTCTGGGGACTACTCAAATTTAGACCAGAGCAAAAAGCAACACCTGACTTCAATGAAGATGCATTTCTCAACAGCACTGTACTGATTGTTTCTTTAAGGTGCAATTCATCTTTTCTAGTTTTCCTGCAGATTGAGGTCTCCAAGCTGAGTTCAGTCTCCATCTTATTTGTAGGTACTTGCTGACTTGTTAAATGTCATCAGCAATAAATGATGCTCCATTTTCACTCTAGATAATTTTTATAAATCCAAAACTAGGAATAGTTTTCTTTAAGAGGGTTTTTACTACCTCTGAAGCTAGCACTGTTCAGGTGGGGAAAACTTCCACCTAGACAGAGCAATCATCCACAAAAACTAGCAAATACTTAAATTTTTGATCAGAGGGCACCTGGGTGAAGTCAAGTTCCAATCTTCAAAAGGTTGTCCTTGATATTAGTGGAAGCTAGCCTTTAGTCCTGAGTCTGTTTAGGGATTATTTTTAAGGCAGGTTAAATGGGTAAAGCTGATTTCCTGGATGGCTTTTGTCAGTCCTCTGCCTTTGAGCCAGGGCCTAACATAATTTGGCCTGTACCTCCCTCCCATAGTAAGTCATTTCATGGACTTGTTTAAGGAGAGTCAGTGCTCAAAACCACTTGAGCCCAAAATCATTCGACTGTCGTTTACTTCCCACCCTTCTGTCTCCTTCTCAAATCCAGTGAGGCCAATACTCAGTCAAGTCCATATGTGAGAAAAAGGAGACCACCAGTTCAGCTTTTGCTATTTCTCGAGCTTCCTGATAAGTTTGGTGATTCCTGATGGGAACTTTGTCCATTCCTTTCTGATGACCAGAGCAGTGCATTACTACGACCTTCCCAGGAAGCTGAACAGTATCCAATAACTGGAGGATTTCTTGAGTGTACTTAATTGTCCTTGTTGCTAACTTTCAGGAGCATTGTCTCTCTCCCCCTGTGCATGCAGGATGAGGCAGGAAAATTTTGAGTCTGTATACACATTTACCATGGCATGTATCAGGCGCACCTTAGTCTCCAGACTGGCATCTTTGCACTTCAGCACTTTAGAGAGGTCTCTAACCACAAACTTTCCCATCCCAATACGTCTTTTAATTTCCTGGCTGCTGGTGCCAAGAGTGTTGATTGTGGATCCAAGCAAACCAAAACTGAACAATCTCAATCTGTTCACCATTCATTATGATGCTGCCAATCGGCCCAGTGGTGAGAATCTTTGTTTTCTTGATATTGAGTCTCAATCCATACTGAAGACTGCAGTCCCTGACCTTCCACAGCAAGTGCTTCAGGTCCTCTCCTCAGTTTCAGCAAGCAGGGTTGGGTCATCTGCATAACACAGATTGGTGATGATTCTTCCTCCAATCCTGATGCCACATTTTTCCTCATAAAGCCCAGCCTCCTGGATGACCTGTTCTGCATACAGATTGAAAAGGTATGGAGTCAGGATACAGCCCTGACATACATCCTTCCCAATTTTGAACCATGCAGTGTTTCCTTGTTCTGTTCTGACAACTGCCTCCTGGCCCAAGTATAAGTTTCGTATTAGCACAACCATGTGTTCTGGGATTCCCATTTTTCTCAGAGTTAGCCACATTTTGTTATGATTCACACAACCAAATGCTTTTGTGTAATGAATGAAACAAAAACATTATTCTGGTACTCCTTGCTTTTGGC